TAGCCGGTTGAGCTACAGGCGCAGAGCCAGTGGACTCTTCTCATAGATTGTCACCCACCTGTGGACCACTGATTTATGGAGATTGACTAGGTGTGTCAGGTTATCTATGATCCCTGGATGTACCTGTCTCCACAATGAGGCAGTGCCTGCCACGGGGATCACCTGGGCCCTAGCTACTCAAAGTGTGGTCCACAGACCAGCACCTATGGCATGCCCTGGCAGTTGGTTAGAAATGCAGAATCTCAGGCCCCACTCCAGACCTACTGAATCTGAATCTGCATTTTAACAAGCTCCTTAGGTGATTCATGTGCACATATAGTTTGAGAGCACTAATTAGGAACCATCCCTGGCCCTTGGACCAGGGTACCACTGCTAAGAATACAGCATGGAAGAGCCCTGCCTACATCTATCATTTTTCTGGTCTTCTTCTTTTTTTTTTTTTTTTTTTTTGAGACAGACTCTCACTCTGTGCTCTGGGTAGAGTGCCATGGCATCATAATATGTCATAGCAACCTCAAACTCTTGGGCTTGAGTGATCCTCTTGCCTAAGCCTACCAAGTAGCTAGGACTACAGGCACCTGCCACAATACCCAGCTAGCTTTTCTATTTTTAGTAGAAATGAGGTCTTACTGTTTCTTGCTCAGGCTAGTCTCAAATTCTTGAGCTCAAACAATTTGCCCACCTCAGCCTTCCAGAGTGCTGGGATTATAGGTGTGACCATGCCGCCTGGCCTGGTCAACTCTTAACCAGTTCTTTTCCTACATACACTCTTTCTTAACCTGTGTCAATATTTTCTTTTCTTTTTTTGAAACAGAGCCTCAAGCTATCCCCCTAGGTAGAGTGCCGTAGCATCACAGCTCACAGCAACCTCCAACTCCTGGGCTCAAGCGAGTCTCCTGCCTCTGCCTCCCAAGTAGCTGAGACTACAGGCACCTGCTACAATGCCTGGCTATTTTTTGGTTGCAGCTGTCATTGTTTTTCGGCAGGCAGGGCTGGATATGAACCTGCCAGCTCAGGTGTATGTGACTGGTGCCTTAGCCGCTTGAGCCACAGGCACTGAGCCTGTGTCAATATTTTCAATGTGAGTTACAATCAAATCCTGACAGCTTCTTTATGTTTTATCTTTATCACTTCTTTATAGTGATTACCTATCTCTTCCCTAATTGCATATTTTAAAGTTTAATAATCATAGAAAAATCTGATATCCTCATTTCAAAGCTTTTAGGGTAAGGAAATTTTGCTGCCATTGTGTTGTCTACAAAAGATAGGAATTGTGGCAGCGCCTGTGGCTCAAAGTAGGGCACCAGCTCCATATGCCAGAGGTGGTGGGTTCAAACCCAGCCCCAGCCCCAGCCCCAGCCAAAAACTGCAAAAAAAAAAAAAAAAAGGTAGGAATTGTTTTTAATTTTCAAGAAATGGAGACAGACACTAGAAATGACCCCTTAGGCTAGGTCTGGTCGTCTTGCTTTAGGCAATCATAGCACCCAACAATCTACTTGTAACTCATCAAAATCTACCCTAGAAGATCCTATGTTGGTAAGCAATGTGCTAGTCTTCTTGCTATATACTCAGTACATCATATTGTGCCTGACAAGTGGTTGAAAATATATGTTCAATGAATGAATTAACTGAATGAAAGACATCAATTTCAGGGTAAGTTACTGTAGTAGGACTTTGGACTTCTTTTTTTTTTTTTTTTTTTTTTTTGAGACAGAGCCTCAAGCTGTCCCCCTGGGCAGAGTGCCGTGGCATCACAGCTCACAGCAACCTCCAACTCCTGGGCTCAAGCGAGTCTCCTGCCTCCGCCTCCCAAGTAGCTGGGACCACAGGCGCCCGCCACAACGCCCGGCTATTTTTTGGTTGCAGCCGTCATTGTTGTTTGGCGGGTCCGGGCTGGGGATTCGAACCCGCCACCTTAGGTGTACGTGGCTGGCGCCTTAGCCGGTTGAGCTATAGGCGCCGAGCCGGACTTTGGACTTCTAAGCCCCATTGTTGGCTTCACACCTTGTGGGTTTTCAGCCTTAAACTTCCTAATCCTGATTCTGAAAACTGAATAATAGTATGAGTGAGAGTATGTACCCCGCACCTCCACCCCCTGCCTCTCCTTTAGTAGGTAAGTGATTAGGTACACTGGCCTGTCCATAAAACAGCACTGTCAACTGTTCTAGATACACTTCAACCAGAAGTGCTTCTCTGAGAAACTTATATAGATAAGAAAACATAAGGAAGTAGTTCATTTAATGTTATTCCAAAGGTTTGAATGTACTTACAGGGTGTATGGCTGGAGAAAAACACAAAGAGGAGGTCTGGTCTGAGTTTCCACATTCCTCTTTGTGTTCCTGGGACAAAGATGCTATCCTCTTTCAGGGTGGCTGCCAACTGTAGCTGATGGAGAAGGTACCTGAGGGTTCCAAGGAGTTATCAGAATGGACAACCTATTTCTGTGAAGACAGAGACTCAGGTGATTACTAAGAAAAAGTTACTGTAGACTAATGGGATTGATAGTGATTTGGAATTATGGGAATGATCTAGCCCAGTGATCCTCAAAGTGTGGTCCCTATAGCAGCAGCATCACCTGGGAATTTGTTAGAATTCTAATTTCTCAGGCTCCACCCTGGGCCCTGCTAAATCAGAATCTCTAGGGGTAGGGTCAGCAATCTGGGTTATAACAATTCCTCTCAGTGACTCTGATGCATACTCAAGTTTGAGAATCAATAATCTAGACCTCAGGACTAAATCAGAGTGTAGTTCACAGACCGACATAATCTGTATTACCTGGGAGCTTACTAGAAATGCAAATTCTGGGGCCCCCACCCCACACCTGCTGAATCAGACTCTCTGGGGATGTGGTTTACCTTTGGAAACTCCTCCTGGCTATGACTTCAGCATGGCTATCATTGAGGACATCTCCTGTGGCAAAGACAGGACACCAGATGAAGACATACAGATGGTGGAGAGGCCATAGTTCCTAAAAAACACAGCAGTCCCGTCCCCCCAACACCCAGGATGGGCATGCAGCCCCTAGAGGGCTTTGTCAGAAGGTATCACGGTCACTAATGACAATGTATTTACAGCAAGGTTTCTCAACTCAGCACTGCAGATATTGTAGATCCTTTGTTGTGTGGGGGTCTATCCCGTAGATTGTAGACTGCTTAGCAGCATTCCTGACCTATACCCATGAGATACCAGTAGGACCCATCTCTCAGTTATGACAACTGTTTCCAGATATTGCCAAATGTCCTCTGGGGTACAAAATTGCCCCAAGTTGAGAATCACTGATTTATAGAAAAGTCTTTATGTGGAGAACAGGAGTCCAGATCTTTTATACCCTGATATCACACTTGTGCTCATGGTGATACAATTCCATCCATACTGGTCCTGGAGCCACTTCCTCATATAAAGGAGGCAAAACTAGGAGGATGAGGGATGCAAACTCAAAGAGGAACCTGCTAACTGGAAGCAGAAGGTAAAGGTCTCAAATCCCTAAAGGATTCCCACATTCTAGTTGGTGTCAAAAGCACTTTTTCTTTTCTTTTCTTTTTTTTTGAGACAGAGTCTTACTCTGTTGCCCTAGGTAGAGTGGAATGGCATCATAGCTCACACCAACCTCAAACTCTTGGGCTCAAGCAATCCTCTTGCCTCCTCCTTCCAAGTAGCTGGGACTACAGGTGCCCACCAAAGCACCCAGCTATTTTTTTTTGTTTGTTAGACACAGGGTCTCACTCTTGCTCATGCTGGTTTTAAACTCCCGAGTTCAAGCAATCCACCTACCCTGGCCTCCCACAGTGCTAGGATTATAGGTGTAAGCCACCTCGCCTACCTCAAAAGTACCATTTAATTTAAGATTGCTTTCTGGGGCTTCAGAAGACACTCAAGCTGTATCCTCTACCTGCTTTAGAGCCCAGAAACTTCCAGACCTAATATGGAATAGTTAAGCCCAGGGAACCTGTAGTTAAGAGGATGAAAATACTGGTTAGTTTTTAGTTTACTCAGAAAGATGTTCTGAGCCAGGCATTATGGCTCTAGCCTGCAATTCCAGCAACTAGGGAGGCTGAGGCAGGAGGATCACTTGAACTCAGGGGTTTGAGGCTGCAATGAGCTATGACTGTGCCTGGGTCAAAGAGTGGGACCCCATCTTGAAACAAAAAGAAAAGTCATGTTGTAAATGAATACTGTCTAAGCGGAGCAGCAGTCAGTAGAAACTGAAAGGTTGGGCACCTCAACGGATATGGCCCCGTTTCTCTAACAAGGAGAGTGAAAGTTAACATGGACACTGGTTTCCAAAGCTAAATCTTTGCTTAGACCCCCCCCCAGCCATGCTTACCGCTCTTCCTCATTTTGGACTGGCCTATGCATTTTGTTCCAGTTCCCATTGAGACAACTTCCTTTGTCACTGGGGAAAAAAACAAAATCATCAAGTGGGCTCTTATGAGGCTGAATGTTCCCCAGTGCTCAGATTAAATCTGTATGCATGTCCTCCAGAGGATTTCCACAGGCCTGCTCAATAGAGGGCTGTGGTTCCAGCACAGAGGTCTCCCACCACCAGAAACACTATACTACCCGGTGCCTAACATCTTAGTTTACATCCTGGCCATGACTGTCCCTGCACAGCAGAGCAGCATATAACTCTTCCATCTTCAACAGGGAGAAGGAGTGTTCCAAGGAGAAAAAGTCTCACCTTGCACTAGCTTATCAGGAGGGTCACAGGCCTGGACAGCTGGAGAGTGTATCTTTACCACAGCTGCCAATAACGTCCACTCATGGTTTGGCTCCGGTTTCCCTTGTTTAGGCAGCCTGATCCCATAGTGCTCGTAGCACAGTTGAGCAATCTCATTTGCGGTCCACATGGTCTCAGCTGGTGTTGAGGACCTGATCAAAAAACACAACCATGAGAGGTACAGAGAGGAAGCCAGTGCACAATGCTACAGCCTCGTACCCGTGCTTTAAGTCTTTCCAGTGGAGTTCAGACTGAGGTTGAACTCTCCTACTACTTCCCTGCCTCCCTTTCATCTTTAATATAAAGACCAAAGAAACTCCAATTTCAACCAACTCCAGAAGACACACTATTTCTGTAAGTTATTTAAAAAGTGTTAGACATATGACATATTTTTTATTTTTATTATTTGTGTGTTTATTTATTTATTTTTGAGACATAGCCTCAAGCTGTCACCCTGGGTACAGTACTGTAGCATCATAGCTCACAGCAACTTCCGACTCCTGGGCTCAAGCGATTCTCCTGCCTCAGCCTCCCAAGTAGCCGGGACTACAGGCGCCCACCACAACGCCTGGCTACTTTTTGGTTGTAGTTGTCATTGTTGTTTGGCAGGCTCAGGCTGGATTCAAACCCACCAGCTGGTGTATGTGGCTGGTGCCTTAAGCTGCTTGAGGCACCAAGCCTCTATTTCTTTTAAGACAGCTTCTTACTCTGTCACACTGATAGAGTACAGTGGTGTCATGATAGCTCACTGCCACCTCAAACTCTTAGGCTCAAGCAATCTCCTGCCTCAGCCTCCTAAGGGGCTGGGGCTACAGGCATGCGACACTGCACCTGGCTAATTTTTCTGTTTTTAGCAGACATAGAGTATTGTTCTTTGCTCTGGCTGATCTGAAACTTCTGACCTTAAATGATTTACCCATCTTGGCCTACCAGAGTGTTAGAATTACAGGCAGGAGCCACTGAGTCCAGCCTAGATATCTGATTTTGTTTTTAAATTATTATTTTTTTAAGGCTAGTCAAGTGAAGCAGTGGGAGTGGAGAATCTGAAGCTGCTACTCAACACAAAAGCATATGAGAAGGAAATGTCCTCACTATACCAATTTTCATTCAGAAATAGTATCAGAGCCTCACCAAACAGGGTTTATATTTCTGGACAGATGTTCTTTTCTGTTCTCTTTTTCAGGCATTTTATTTTCTGTCCTTTCCCCCAAAGCAGAATAGTTCTCTATTTCCCGCCACTAAATCCCCACTGAGAGATTTCTCACCAGTCAAGTGTTCTCCCATAGGAGTTGTGCTTAAGGGTGTGGGTTTTGCATTCACTCTTGCTGGGTTCTAATTTTGGCTATGCCACAAATTATGATATTGGATAGGTGATTTAACCTTTCTGTGTCTCAGTTTCCTAATCTGTTAAAACAGAGACAATAATAGTATATAACCAATGGGTTATTGTGAGGATTAAATAAATACTTACAAAAAGCAAATGTTGAGCATAATTAATGCCAACTGATTTATTCCCAAAAATTAGATTTAAGGATTTTCCTGGTCAGTGTGCCTTGAGCTACTTGGAGGTGGGGGCTGTGAAGCACAAAGAGGGGGAAGGATTGGAATGAGCATACAAAGTCATGAATAAAAAACTATTAATAACCAGACCTGAAAGAGCCCTAAGGATACTCTGCTGGAAACTCTCCATTCTCGACTCTATCAATGCTCACTAGATATATCCCAACTTCATCTGGACTCAATTATATATATGCAAAGCTGCTTAAGTTGATGAGATCACGTAGTGATGGACATAGCCAAGCATTACAAGACAAAACCAAAAAACAACAAAAAAGGCTTTCCAGAGCCCCAGTGCATGTAGCTTCTGAAAGATATTTCTACACTATCCAGCCCCCTGCATTCTAATGTGCAGGGTTACTAGTGTAGTAAATGGTAATGGTAAACCGGGCTATAGTGATTTAAGACCAAAAAACTGGCAGGAACGGACAGAAACTGCGATTTTAAACTCAGAGAACCAGTAGAAATCTTGCATCACTTGGAAGAAAGTAAAGCACGGTAGATCCCAGAATCTTTGTTTGGAAGGGATTCGCCTGTCATTCCTAGAGAGGCACACACAAGGCATATTTTATGAACGCAGATACCCTGTCATCAACCTGAAATTAAACCTGAGGTGCATATCACAAACTATAATTGCTAAGGAGGGTAAAACTTGCCAGAATAAACGGTGATTCTCTAAGATGAAGCAGCCCAGAACGACACTGTCTCCTCATTCAGTTGAGCATGCAACGTTGTTGAAATGAATAAATGTCTCGATATACTGGGTCCATTATAATTCAAGCCTTCTCCTCCTCCTAGATCTTGAAAAACTTTGAAGATCTTCTTCATATGAAATAATAACAGTTAAACAGGCATCTCTGTGCCCACAAGACTGCATCCTATAACAGTTGCAACAAGCTGAAGAACCCACTTTCTTTTCAAAGAAAAGCTGTCGAAAGAGAAAAGGCTTTAGCGATGCTGGGAGGAGAGGAAGCCTACTTCCTTTGGTCCCCTGTAATACGTCCGGAGGCAGGGCCCCTTCACTGGCCGGGCTGAAGTCCTGGTCCGCCAGTTACGGGAGGGGAGGGGCTAGGCAAGGCACTGAGGTTGTGGAATCGGGACAATGCGAGCACCTGACTCCCGACAGCACGCGGCCTGCGGCTGCCCCGAGATCGCCCGCGGCAAGAGCTCTTCAAGACGCGGTTGTTGACATTTCCTGACCGGGAGCGGCACTTTCCAACGTGCCAAGCGTCTGGCAAGACACAGTCCTGACAACCTCTTCCCACATAGAACTGACTGTGCAAAGTCAGACCCGAGACACCTGACCCAGCGGCCCCTGACCGCTTTACCCTGACACCTCGCGGACCCTCCACTCCCACCTCCACGACACGCGGAACCCGGTGGCGAGCGGACGTGACGTCACGAAGCGACTACTCTCCCAGGTCCCGCCCCCAGGCCGCGCAGTGCACCCTGGCCTTTGTAGTCCTTCTGGCGCGGAGCCCGCCGCGGTACGGCAGTGGCTCAGCCTGGGGCGGCGTGCTTAGAAGCCGCTAGACTAGAACGGCCTGCCAGGTTACGGATGCCTTCAAACCCTAGTGTGAATTTCTGTCTATAACAGCTCTGTCCAGTATAAATATTATTCAAACCGTATGGCTGTATGTAATTTACAATTTTCTAGCTGCTACTTTTGAAAAGTCAAAATAGGTAAAATTAATTTTGATCATGTTATATATAATCTTTATTTACAAAATAGTATCGTTTCAACGTGTCATTTTTTTTAAATTGAGATATTTTACCTTCTGTTTTAACATATACTTCTTTATTTGGACCAACCACATTTCAAATGCTAAACAGCCAGCCATATGTGGCTGGTGGCGACTGTAGTGGATCACTCAGGTCTAAGGCCTTCAGATTGTCAGGAATAGGTAATGTAACTACCTGGATATTTCAGGAGTCTTTATTTCTCTTCTCAGCAACTGTTTGCCTCAATTGCTGAAGATGAGAGTATTCACTTTTCATCCTGTTACCCCTCGAAAGTTAGTGAGAGCAGTGCAATTACTCAACCTCCTCCTTTCCTCTAGTTCCAAGGAAAAGGAACACAGCTGTCCTTCAAGGCTAAGGACCCTGTTCCACATAACTAACATTAATCTGCAACTGACTCCCACTTCTGTCTTTGAAGAAACACATGTTGTTGGGAGTGGGGTGCCGATCATCTTCTAGGGGTCTTTACCCCAGGGATTGGTATTACCACCCATCTTGTCACACACTAAAAAGTGAGTCACCCTCCATGTTATTAATCTTCCCTTCCCTTAATCCCCCAGGATATAATCCCTTACCAAGTCCAGTTGACCTTATTTGCTGTTTCTTGAATCCATCCCCTTTTGTTCACTTTCACAGCAATAACCTAGTCCAAGACACTCACTGTCAGCTCCCTCTTGGATTGCTAATCTCTCAACTTTTGCTTTTTTTGGCCTAACTCCATTTTCTACATAGCTGCCAGACTGATCTTTTCAACTACAAATGTAATGTCACCCGATTGCTTAACACATTGACTGCCACCCTAAAAACCACTTTCTTTCACAAAAATAGAATGAAAACTTAAAAAACAAAATTATCCTTTCTGAGTTAATGAAAATATTTTTGTAGGGTTTCACCAAGACCACCTAAATCATGCAGCATGTATTCTTTCAACATGGCAATGTCAGTTGGCTGCTCACCATGAGGCTCCCAGGATAGAGATGTGAGTTATATATGCTTCAGGAGGCCCCAGGTTCAAAACTAGTGTGAGTTACATGCAACTCTCATTATAATTTAAAGTGTTGAATACTTCAGTGGCTTCCAGTACTCCTAAAATACATACAATATCTCATAGTAGGGCTCACACTGCACTAGTCCCTTCCTGCCTGATCTTGCGCCATATTCCTTTGTGTTTGTACTCTCTGTCCAGTGTCACTGGCCTCCATTCCCCTTCCTACCACTGGGCCTTTGTGTTTGTCGCCACATCATGGAAAGCTTTCTCCTCTCCTTTCTAGATCTAATGTCCTCAGAGACATCTTAAGTCAGTCCATTATAGTTTCTCAATACCCCACGGACCCCTCCTTTAAAGAATTTACCAGAGCTGACATTTAATACAATTTCAAAGACAATTTATTATGTTTTCTTTACAAGTCTGGAAGTTTGATGAAGCTTGGGAACATGCCTATTTCTGGTTAGCAAACTGTGAGCTTTCAACTGAGGGGGTAATGAGGACTTTATGATCCTTTTGTCCCTTCTAGCTCACATACTATTTGTCATAGCCCCTGCCAAACCCCACATACAAGTTGCCTACCATTGCTACAGCTCTTGTTTCTAGCCTCCCTAAGCTCAGACAGCTGGCTTCTGCCTCCAACCTTCTACTAAACATGACTAGTCATTCTTGACTCATCGATTCTTGTAGGTTTTTCCAGTAGTCTGCATTGACAGAGTTGTCTGAAGTCCAGTCCCTTATCTGGTGTTGACCCTTCACCCTCTCCCTTGGTGGCATGATTGCCCCCATTTTAGTTAACAGCACCTTGGAGAGTGTGCCATAATGGCAGTGTTTCTTCCAAAATACCACCTGGTCAACTACTGTTTAAGCAAGAGTAGGGCTGCTCAGTACTTCCTGAAATATGCAGTTAGGCTTCAGCATACTGAAGATTGTTTTACTATCTTTGGAAGCAGAAACCTGCTCTGTGAAAGGACACTGGCAGCTGCCCAACTGGGATGCTTGCAGAGGTTTTGCTGAGGTGCAACAGACAAGTCCTTTGTCATCTGACTCTGAAAAAGTCTTCCCAGTTGCCTTCCTGTGTCTGGGAGTAAGAGCTCCACTTTAACAGCAGGCCCTCAGCCACTCCTGTCAGATTCTTAGCCCCATTGAATTGACCTGAAAATAATGAGCCAACTTCAGACTCACTGTTCAATTCTACTAAGGTATTTCCATCTGGCTGTTGAACAAGAACATCACATTTAGTACGTCCAAAACCAAACTTTCAACCTTCCCTCTCAAATCTGCACTTCCTGCTTTTCCCACCTCAGTAAATGGCAATTCTTTTCCAGTTGTTCTGGCCCAAATCCTTGAATCTTTTTCTCAAAACTCACATTCCATTAATGAGTTCTGTTGTACTTAGGAACATAGGCAAACTCCAGCCAGTCATAACCATTTCCATTGCTACCACTCAAGTCCCACTGCCCACGGCCTCTCTGACCAGCCCACTGGTCTCTGCTTCACACTTGACCTTCACAGGTAAACTGAAAAATACTCCTCTAAGACCAGGCACCATGGCTCACACCTAAAATCCTAGCACTTGTGGAGGCTAAGGCAGAAGGATCCCTTGAGCTCACCAGCCTGAGCAAAAACAAGACCTGGTTTAAGAAATAGAAAAATTAGCCCACATTGTGGCAGGTGCCTGTAAGCCCAGCTACTCAGGAGGCTTAGGCAGAAGGATCACTTGAGCCTCGGAATTTGAGGTTGCTATGAGCTAGGCTGATGCCGGAGCACTCTAGCCTGGACAACTGGACAACACAGACTCTGTCTCAAGGAGAGAAGAAAGAAAAAAAAAAAGAAATCATTTATCTGCTCAAACCCTCCGGCAGCTTGCTGTCTCCCTCTGGGTGGCTCTCAGGGGCTGCATGATCTGGTCTCTCACTGATCTTCACTCCTTTCTGGTCATACTGGACTCCCTGTCACTCCTTAAAAATTTGATCCTTTAGTCTGTGGGATCCTTTCCCACAGATCTCTCCAGATTACTATCTCCAGGATCCCTATTCAAATACTACCCAGTACATCTTCCTGAATACCATATTTAAAACAGTTCCCGTCCCCTTAACCTGCTCCATTTTTCTTCCAAGTATGTCAGAAATTCATGGAAAGAATTTGTGTTTACTTGTTTCTGTTTACCTGTTTCTCATCCTCACCCCAAAGAATGTAAATTCTAAGAAAGCAAGGGCTTGAATTTTGTTCCTTGCTGTGTCCCCGATCCATTACAACTATGAAGAGCAGACACTAATATAAATTTCTTGGATGATGGTAGAATCCCGAACATTCATTAGGCTACCAAGCTGGGGAAAAAGTTGACATTCCAAAGGTACAGAGACAAATGGTTTATTTGGTAACAAGGAATAAAAAGAAATACTTGATTTCCTTTTTTCTTTTCTGGAGGCTGAAGTGTGGTAGTCAAGTGGATGACAACGTAAGAATTCTCTTGCAAACCTTTATCTTTTGCACAAATGCACTGATGCTTGTTCATAGGACTTGCCATTTCCATTTTCTAGACAGAAGTGCCAACTGTTGTGCTTTCTGGTGTGTCAGTGACCGCTGTACTCTCCTTCTTGTCTTCAGGTTTCATGGCAGGAAACAAAAGTACTTCCTATGGGAGGTAAGAACATACTGTGACGCTAAGAAGCACTCTGAACCCTTTTTTTCACAGCTACCAGTCCTTTTGCTTCTATTATTATTACCCAAATCCAGAGATCTTACACTCCACATGAAAAACACACCGATATATTCTTTTATTTCAACTTAGTCCCTCTCAGTTATAGAGGATGGGAAAAAACAGTATACGGCACCACTGCCTAGAGCACCATGTCAGAAGGTTGAAAAACATAGGTTCTATTGAAATTGGACTTCCTCATCTGTAAATACAGGATAGCAACAATTTCCACACCTCCTAGGGCTGATTTAAGTTAAATGAGATAACACAGGTAGAGGGCTTAGCACTTCCCTGGATCTGCAAGAAAAGTATTTAGTATTCTTCCTGCCTCAGGTCAAAAAACCCTCCAAATCCCATAAGGTCAGATGCTCCGACCCTACCCCTGGGGAGTGGCCATGTTCCTTCTTGCAGCCCAAAGCCCTCTCCTTATTTTATTCTCTAGGCCCACCATGCCCTGCCTCTGACACAATGGGGCTTCTTCAGAGCAGTGTGTGCTGAGGAAGTTGCGATGTACCTTGATGTTGTTGGAGTCTGTGAGAAACATGGTGACGCGGTCAATGCCCATACCCCAGCCAGCTGTGGGGGGCAACCCATATTCCAGGGCAGTACAGAAGTTTTCATCTATGAACATGGCCTCATCATCACCAGCAGCCTTCGCCTAGAGGAGAAAAGAGAACCAAAAGGTGACCTTCCAGGATATCTAAGGGTCCAAGTAAACACATTAAAATGTGCTCTTGACACTCAGGATTTGCTGGAAATTGATTTCCCAGGAAATACAAGGTAGAGCTATTTGTTTCAAAGATCTGAAGTCAGGACTGATGGAATCTATCTCAGAACACATAATGAACCTCTCTGAAATAAAACGTTTCCACTGGCTTAGAGTCCATAGCACAGTGGTTATGGCGCCAGCCACATGCACCCAGGCTGGTGGGTTCGACCCCAGCCCGGGCCAGCTAAACAATAATGACAACTCCAACAAAAAAAACAGCCAGGCATTGTGGTGGGCACCTGTAGTCCCAGCTACTTGGGAGGCTGATGCAAGACAATCGATTAAGCCCAAGAGTTAGAGGTTGCTGCGAGCTGTGATGCCATGGCACTCTACTGAGGGTGACATAGTGAGATTGTCTCAAAATAAATAAATAAATAAAGCATTTCCATTGTCTGGTGCTCTGGGACTCTAGTGAGAGTAATTCTCAGAGCCTCTGTAAGGATTCCCAAGACCTTTCTCCTATTTCCTGAAACCACCCATTCATCTTTATCTGCCTCTCACCCCCAAGCCACCTCAATAATGTGGCTAGGCAAATGTAGTGGATGCTCCCTATATCCTACAGACAATCAAAACTAAGTTCTTCTCTTGTATTAAAGAGTCAAAACCAGCCCAAGTGTCCTCCGTGAAACGTGACTTCCTCCAGCAAGGCCTATGGCTTTATCCTTCATTTCTGAAGTCATGAAGAAGTATACATTGAGCAGGGTTAAGGCTGCTAGTTCCTGATGAGCGGACACTGATGACAAAGGTGCTTTTGCTCACGTTCTCCTTCCTTACCTTGGCCTGTTCTTCAAAAAGCTGCCGCTGCCGCATGGGATCATTCAGCTCAGTGTAGGCATTGCATATTTCTTTCTTCATAACAAATAACTCAAAGCGCTCAGTCAGACCCTCTTTAGAGCGGTGCCTGGGGACAGGAGACCAAAGAGGAGGCTGAATATATAGGTCCTTAATAATCAAACATTTGATACAAAAATTCTTGAAGTCTAGTGGACGCAAAAGTGTTAATGATTGCAACCTGAGGCCTGCACGCACTCTCAGCACCAAATCATTTGGAACAATAGTGAGGAGGTTTTCCTAAAAGGCTAGGGAGATTCAATTATCTTCCTAAGAAGCCACTGTGGCAGATTGTTACATTCAACCACATGGCCTGCATCCAAGCCCCTCTGTAGTCCCTCCTGCATGGACTCTTGGTCTGGCTGATGGAATATTGCAGAGTCTTGGTATGTATTTGCCAGAGGAAGAGGTTCTGGAAGACAAGATTACATGTGGAAGAGAACCAAAGTGCCCTGCCAGAATCCCCAGTTGAAAAAAGCCACTTGAGTTATTCTAGCCAACACCACCCACTATTCTCTTCTAGCACAAAGACCACCCAATCAACCCACAGAATCCTGAAAACAAACTGTTTAACATCATTGGGATTGTTATGCAGCAATCATGCTTCATCTTACCATTTAGCCAGAGGGCTCATTATCTGTGGGTGATCACAGATGAACGTAGGATTGATGCAAGTCACTTCCAGGAACTCCCCAACAAGCTTAATAAGAAGCAAAGCAGAGTAAATACCACTTCTGAATAGTAGTTTTATCATCTAGATGGGAGATGACAGCTCCCAATGAGATGGGTTTATCCTATAGCTTTTCAAAGGCTAGAAAGGAACTATTTTGGCACAGAGTTCAAAGTTTGTTAATTCTCCTGATCCTCTCTTTAGAGTTTTTGGGGGGAGCTATAGAAATGAGTTCTCCCCGGTAGGGTTCACTTTCCTGGAGAGTAGGGCCTGAGCAGCATTAGGTAAGGACAGAGAGAAGGACATGGCCTCTCACTTTATCAAGAAGCCTGGCTGTGGTTCGAGGTGGAGGGCATTCAATAGCTTTTGCCACGCAGATATCATCAAGAATTTTGCGAGTTTCTGTAATACAAATGTACAAGTTAGCACAGAAGACAGTAAAAATGTATATGAGGAGAACAGTGTGGGAAATTGTAACTTTGGCCCAATTAAATTCAGAGCTAAACAAGAAGGCGAGCCATCCGATGCAGGAGTGTGTCACTTTACCTTCAGTTTCAAAGAGGTTAGTTTTCGGCAGCTTCACACCCAGGGCTTTCTCCAGCTCTTCTACCATGCTGATTCTCCGGAAGGGTGGGGTGAAATCAATCTCATAGGCTTGGCCCTCTGGCCCATCTGGGTGGTAGGTTACCTTGTAACCTCCTGTAATGTGCTTCACCATCCCTGAAAGAGAAACTCGCTATTTAAACAAGATGAAGCCCAGGAAGCCCTCCTCTGAAAGCAGCACCCCACTGCCCACAAGTGCGAAAGAGAGCAGGAGTCACCTGAAACCAACTTCTCCGTGATTTCCATGAGGTCGTGATAGTCTGCATAGGCCATGTAGAACTCACAGGTGGTGAACTCAGGATTGTGAGTCAAATCAATTCCTTCATTCCGGAACTGGCGTCCAATTTCATAAACCCGGTCAAAGCCACCGACCACTAGCATCTAACAACAACACATGGCCTTGGTCACGACAGCTAATCTTATCTTAATAACTCCGGAAAGTTTCTGTCTACAAAAGTCAGAACATGGTTTTCCAAGCTTAGGCATGTTCTTGGTCTTTGCTCAAAATGCCACTACCCTGCTCTCCTTTAAGGTAGTTTACTGGATTCTCCATGAAAAAAGCCCAGTGATGATTCAGAATCACTCCTAGCTGCACGGTCTCAGGGCCTGATTCTCTGATCCTCCTGGAGAATGTGAACTTCCTTATACAGCTGAATAATTTTTTTCTTTTGCTTAAACAAGTTGTTAACAGGTTCTGCTGTATACAACTAAGAATCTTGAATGGACGTCTTCAACATTTACTTTGGTAATTTGAAAATACAATCTTTATTGTGATTTGAAGATATTTATTTCCAACTTCCAGAGATTAGGTTCTTTTCTATAAAAGATTAAAATCAGACCTAATCCAAGGAAGACTAAAACTTGAAAAATTATAGCAGAACCAAAGTAGGTTTGGAGTGCCTGTACATCAGAAATTCACAAACCTGGCTCGCCGCCTAAACGTAGCACAGTGGTTATGGCGCCAGCCACATACACTGAAGGTGGCAGGTTTGAACCTGGCCCGGGCCAGCTAACCAACAATGACAATTGGAACAAAAAATAGCCAGGTGTTGTGGCAGACACCTGTAGTCCCAGCTACTTTGGAGGCTGAGGCAAGAGAATCATGTAAGCCCAACAGTTTGAGGTTGCTGTGAGCTGTGATGCCACAGTACTCTACAGAGGGCGACATAGAGAGACTCCGTCTCAAAAAAAAAAGAAACTCAAAAACCTGACAAATTAGAATACTCTTCTGGCTATTTACCCTCAATGTTCCTCTTACTTCTGACTGTACCTTTCTAGCTAATGGTTTTCCAGCCTTCTGCTTCTTTAAGGAAACAGGGTGTTTTATTATTGACTACCTTATGGTAGAGTTCTGGGGCAATTCTCATATATAAGTTCATGTCCAGCTCGTTGTGGTAAGTGATGAAAGGCTTGGCTACAGCTCCTCCTGGGATGACGTTCATCATGGGAGTTTCAATCTAAGAAAGACAGGATACATATTTAGTCCTGAGACAGCTGGAGGCCTTGGGGACAGTTCATGCTTTGCATCTAATAGAGTGTAAGCCTATTATATCCCAAAGTAAATGATACCAAATACCATTAACATAGTACCATAAACTTTCAGAAGTTATGAATGGGACTATATATGGATACACCCTTTCTTGAGTCCAATTTGCAGTATTAAAAATTTAATTGCTGGGTGGCGCCTATGGCTCAGTGAGTAGACACTGGGCCCACATACCGAGAGTGACGGGTTCAAACCCAGCCCTGGCCAAACTGCAACAAAAAAATGGCTGGGTGTGTGGTGGGTGCCTGTAGTCCTAGCTACTTGGAAGGCTGAGGCAAGAGAATCGCCTAAGCCCAGGAATTGGAGGTTGCTATAGGCTGTGATGCCACAGCACTCTACCAAGCAAGGGCAATAAAGTGAGATTCTGTCTCTAAAAAAAAAAAAAAAAATTTAATTGCTTTTATTCTACAACTAGAAATAAATTCCATAGAAACACCTATAGATGGCTTGGCGCCTGTGGCTCAAGCGGCTAAGGCGCCAGCCACATACACCTAAGGTGGCGGTTTCGAATCCCCAGCCCAGGCCCGCCAAACAACAATGATGGCTGCAACCAAAAAATGGCCGGGTGCTGTGGCGGGCGCCTGTAGTCCCAGCTACTTGGGAGGCTGAGGCAGGAGACTGGCTTGAGCCCAGGAGTTGGAGGTTGCTGTGAGCTGTGATGCCATGGCACTCTACCCAGGGGGATAGCTTGAGGCTCTGTCTCAAAAAAAAAAGAAAAGAAAAAAAGAAACACCTACAGAAGAAAATCAGAAACAATTTAAACTATAAATATGGTTAACAAATTATGAAGCATTAAGAAGGAACATACAGCTTCATATATTTAGAACTGTATCTTTGTATCTATCTCATAGAAAGGGGAAAAAAAGACCAGGTCCATCATAATACATACAGTGACTTCATTTACATTCAAAGCAAAAAACTCTTCCAAAACATGTATACATGTGTACTCTGCCTGCAATATACATGTGCACACAAGTGCAGTAAATGGTGAGGAAGGACACATACCAAGCTCAAGTTTGAGGAGGGACGTTAATTGGGAGGAGTGAAAGGATGCTTTCAGTTTTTCTTCTATTTTCCATTTGCTTTCTTATCCATAAATAAATATTTCTTAGTGTTATAAAAAAAGCAAAATGATTTGGTAACATATTGAACGTGGCATAATTACCATTTGGATGGCCCTATATCTTATTCATCATCTTGGAAGTAAAGTCCTGTCTTCCTAATCAGGGCACTAAACAAACAAGGTAGAACAAAGACACTAGAAAGAAAAGGGACATTCTCCTTAAGCACAAAGGATACTGACACGGGATATGCCTGGGAAAAGGAAGGGAGGCGACATTAAGAGGCAAGCACAAGGCAGCTCATCGTGTCAGGCAAGAAACTCTCCTTTACCTCTAGGAATCCCAGCGCATCCAAGAAACTTCTGATATATGTGATGATCTTAGAGCGGATGATAAATTTCTGCCTTACAAAGTCATTCAGGATCAAGTCCAAGTATCTCTGACGATACCGTGTTTCCTAAACCAAAAGCAGTAGTTGGAAATCACCGACATGTTTGATTTGGTGGTATGATAAAACAATGAAATGCATATCTGTGCCACAGCCAGGCGGCCTCAAGCGCTTACCTTATCTTTGAGGCCAAAGTGAAGATGAGGTAACATATGCAAGCAAGGAGACAGCAGTGTGATCTCGTAGGGAATGATGCTCAGCTCACCCTTTTTGGTCTTCCCAGGATTCCCCTGAACTCCAATTATGTCTCCCCGACGAAGTTTGTTATTGATATGAGTAAACTCTTCTTCTGATTTATAATTTCTGAGTGAATAGGAAATGTAATTTGGTATACGCTAGTTTAAATTACCATAATCTTAAATACTTTTGCTTTACTTTGGAAACCTCACTGAACTACTAAATGTAAATGTGAGCCCTAGAAGAATCTTAGATTCAGGAGAAACTGTTTCAAAAAAGTACTATCTTAGGTTGAGGTGGGTGGATTGCTTGAGCTCAGATTTCGAGACCAGCCTAAGTAAGAGCAAGACCCTGTTTCTACTAAAAATAGAAAAACAAGCCAAGCACTGTGACAAGCTCCTGTAGGCCCAGCAGCTCAGGAGGCTGAGGCAAGAGGATCATTTGAGCCCGAGAGTTTGAGGTTGCTGTGAGCTATGATGACAACACCATGGCACTCTACCTAGGGCAACAAAGACTCTGTCTCCAAAAAAAGTATTATCTTTTATTTTACTCTCATATGACTTGAGAGCAGTGACTACTTTCCTCTTCTCAGCCTTACCCAACCATGTTCCCCTAACTTATCTAACTTCAAATACCGAAGGGAAAATACACATTAAGACCCACATTAGCCTCCGTCCCTGTGTCACTTGAAGCTAGTCTAGAAGTCTGTAACTGGATATTTTGATATATACCTGGAATTGGCCATGACTTGCAACTTGACCCCTTCTCCTCGAAGGTCATAAAAGATGAGCTTTCCCCCAGAAGCTCTTTTGGCATGGATCCTACCTAGAAGAAGAAGAGCAAAAATACTGACAGAACCAGAAGCTACTGCACGACATCAGTGCCAAAAAAGTTCCCTTCGTAGTTTTTGTCAGGGCAGAACATAAACCAAAATAATCTGATTTTAGCTTAAGGTCTAAATAAACCCTGATCCCCATTCAAAGTAGTTAAAGATTTGGCTTTAAAGATATTCACTCAATTCCTGGAAGGTGGCAGTGCTGGTGGCAGCAGGAGGTTTGGGATCTTTCTGAATCCTCACACAAAATACAAAGCATAATAACATGCAAACCCCAAAATCCATGGACAATATTTACAACAAGATTATGTGGAAAGGTATTTCTAAGAACCCCCAAATATAAGCAATGGGACAAACCGCCAAGAACCACAAACCTCCATGTGGAGAAAAAGTAGTAGGGATAAAATAAATGCGACATGTGATGGATCTGTGCACTGGAGAACTCCCATGTCCCATGTGGAGGGTAACAGCTGAACCTGGGATGGGGGATGTGCCTATTTCCATACAACTGAGGGCTGCATTAAAGTCTAAAGGGGATGGAGCAGTGTAGCCCCCCCAAAACTCTAAACTTAGCAGTCAGATTCCCTTCTAGAACAAGGTCATGCAAAATTGAAAAGGACAAGGAAAACAGTGACAAAAGAAAGAGAGTCCCCCCCTGCCCCCAAAAAGTGAGGAAGGGATAGAAAACCAGGAAATCTCAGATAGTAGCTGCTGTATTTCTGAATACTTCACAAAAACAACCAAAGAGGGAGCTAAGTGAAATCGAATAAAACTATCTAAACCAAGCTTCCTTTTAATGTTCAGGCAAACTCATTTTGTGTAAAAACAAGTTAACATAAAAGCACAGGGTCAAATTCCATACAAAGTTACTTAAAAAAGAAAATGAGGAGAGTAACACAAAACAAAAATGGTTAAGAAACAAACGCTCTGAAAAAGATAAAAATGCTCACAAATTAGAAGAATCAAAATCAGTATTTTAAAATGTCCATGCTACCCAAAGCAATATACAGATCAATACAATCCCTATCAAAATACCAATGACATCCTTCAAAGAAATAGAAAAAATAATCCTAAAATTTATATGAAACCATAAAGACTCAGAACAGCCAAAGCCATCCTGTGCAAAAAGAACAAAACTAGAGGAATCATATTATCAGACTTCAAATTATACTACAGAGATGTAGTAACCAAAACAGTATGGTACTGGCATAAAAACAAACAGACTAAAGGAACAAAATAGAGAACCCAGAAATAACCCTGCGCATCTATAGTGAACTTATCTTCAACAAGGGTGCCAAGAACATACAGGGGGGGGAAAGACAGTCTCACTGTCAAATGGTGCTGGGAAAACTGGATCTCTATATGCAAAAGAATGAAACTAGGCCCTTATCTCTTCCCATATGTAAAAATTAAATAAAAACAGATTAAAGACTTAAACCTAAGACCCCAAACTATGAAACTACTAAAAGAAAACATTGGGGAAATGCTTCAGGACATTGGTCTGGGTGAGGACTTCCTGAGTCCTCCAAAGCACAGCAACCAAAGCAAAATTAGACAAATGGGATTACATCAAGCTAAGAAGCTTCTGCACAGAAGGAAACAATCAACAAAGTAAAGAAACATCCACAGGATGGGAGAAAATTTTAGATTATTATTTGGGATAATAGGATAATAATATAATCCCATCTGGGGCGGCACCCATAGCTCAAAGGAATAGGGTGCCGGCCCCATATACCAGAGGTGGCAGGTTCAAACCTGGCCCTGGCCAAAAACTGCAAACAAACAAACAAACAAACAAAATATATATATATATATATAATCCCATCTGACAAGGGATTAATAATTAGAATATATGATGGAGTTTTATGGTGCTAAAAGAGGAAAAAAAACCCCAGCAATTCCACAGGATAAGAAAATCCCATAATCTGATTCAAAATGGGCACAGGATCTGAATAGACATTTCTCAAGAGAAGATATACAAATGGCCAATGGGTATATGAAAAAATTCTCAAGACCATTAATCACTAGAGAAATACAAATCTAAATTACGAGATATCACCTCACCCCACTTAAAATGGCTCTTATCAAAAAGGCATAAAAAATGCTGGTGAGGATGTGGAGAAAGGGAGCCCCTCAGACACCGTTTGTGAGAATGTAAATTAGTATAACCACTATGGAGAAAAGTATGGAGAGTCCTCAAAAAACTGAACATAGAACTACTATTTGACTCAGCAATCCCAAGTAGGGAAATTCAACATATTGAAATGGTATCTGCACTCTTATGTTTATTGCAGAACTATTCGTAACAGCCAAAATTTGCAATCAACCTAAGTGTCCTTGAACAGATAAAGAAATCATGGGTACAGATACACAATGGAATATTATATAGCCACAAAAGAATGAAATTCTGCTATTTGCAACAACATGGCTAGAACTAGAGAACATTATATGAAATAAGCCAAGCACAGAAAGACAAATTTCTCTCATGTTCTCACTCATATGTGGAAGCTAAATATTAACATAACCATTATTCTGCTCTCAGGGAGAGAGAGAGCAGAATAATGGTTACCAGAGTGGAAAGAGCAGTGGGAAGGGAAATATAAAGTGAGGATAGTTAATGGGTACAAAAATTTTTTTAGATAGTTAGAATGATGGATTTTTTAAAAATTTCAGATTAACATGCGGGTACGAAGGATTAGGTCACAATGTTTGTGTTTGTTAGGTCCCTGTTGTAGTTGTGTACTGCACCCAGGAGGTGTGCCATATACCCTTACATTGTGCCTACTGAGTGGGAGCACACCAATCCCTCTCCTTTCCTTCCCTTCCCCCCTCCTTGAATTAAATCGGGTTTTTCTCTTGTGTGGGTGTGTATTAGTTCATCTACTGGCTTCTTATTAGTATTGAGCCGCTGGATGCTGGCTTTTCCAGAGTTATCAATATTTGGTAGCACAACAAGTGACTACTATCAACAAGGCAGAGTATACTTAATACATATTTAAAGGGCACAATGGGTACCTGAGAATAGTGAACCAAAACAACTAATATCAAAACGTATTTTAGTAAAATAACTGGACTCTAAGGAAAAAGAAATGTTTGGGCATTTGAGTGTGTGCAGAGGTTCTATAAGGGTGGCAGGATTATGGGTATTAAGCTTTTCTCTCCTTGCTTCTTTAACTGTTCCAAATTTTCTACAACTAATAGTTTTACTATTATGGGAAGAAGCAAGGAAAAATGTAATTTAACTTTTTTAATTAAGGCAAAGAAGATTCTACTCAAGATACTATAATTCCAAAATAGCAGCGTTCTAGAAATACCATCTCTGTGCAAAAGCATTCTCCAGCCAAAGATTAAAATTCATAGAAGCCTAGGGCCATGGTTAGCATGGATGAAGGAAATTCCTTTTTTTTTTTTTTTTTTTTGA